TCCCTTTCATTAGTAAGGTTACGCTGAGAGGAAAAGCCGCAAGCGTTTATTTGCTAGATACGTACCTGCCTCGTCTGAATCTCGGATTCTAGTGCCTTCTTTTGGTCGAGACTTTGAGAACCCGGTAAGGTAAGGTAAGGTAAGGTAAGGTAAGACTGAGGGGGAATAAAAAAAGAATAAATACATGTCATCTTCCCTTCTCCTCTTCCTTCTTTTTTCTCCATACATACACAGTACAAAAACTTCTTTCTTCAAAATTTTATAAACAATACCTCAATTTCCACTCTTCCTCTTTTAGATTCCCCAAACACAAACACAAGACTCACTCATCATGCCCATCTCTATCCCAAAAGCTAATTCCCTCAAGGACCTCTTCTCCCTAAAGGGAAAGGTTGTCATCATCACCGGTGCTTCCGGACCCAAGGGAATGGGTATTGAAGCCGCACGAGGATGTGCCGAGATGGGAGCTGATGTCGCCATCACATACTCTTCCCGTCCTGAGGGAGGTGAGAAGAACGCCAAGGAATTGGCCGAGACATATGGTGTTAAGGCCAAGGCATACAAGTTGGACATTGGTGACTATGCCAGCGTCGAGAAGTTGGTTGCCGATGTGGTCAAGGAGTTTGGAAAAATCGATGCTTTCATTGCCAACGCGGGTCGAACTGCTGATAGCGGTATTCTTGACGGAACTGTTGAGGCTTGTAAGTTTTCTCCCAATGGCACTTTCCTTTTGGAATGAACCATGACTAATAACTATCTTCAGGGAACGAGGTCATCCAAACCGATCTTAATGGAACCTTCCACTGCGCCAAGGCTGTTGGACACCACTTCAAGGAGCGTGGAACTGGTTCCTTCGTCATCACCGCTTCGATGTCCGGTCACATCGCCAACTTCCCACAAGAACAAACCTCATACAACGTTGCCAAGGCAGGATGTATTCACATGGCACGCTCCCTCGCCAACGAATGGCGTGACTTCGCCCGTGTCAACTCCATCTCCCCAGGTTACATTGACACCGGTCTCTCCGACTTTGTCGACCAAAAGACCCAAGCTTTGTGGAAGTCCATGATCCCTATGGGTCGTGATGGTGAAGCCAAGGAGTTGAAGGGTGCCTATGTCTACTTGGTATCTGATGCTTCTACCTACACCACTGGAGCTGATATCGTCATTGACGGTGGTTACTGCTGCAGATAAATGTATTTATTATATCTATTTTTTTCATGACATGGCTGGGATGAAAGGAATGGTTGGGTTCTGGAGTTTGTCACCAAAAATGATGGCTGATATTTTAGCGATATTCGATTGAAATGAAAAGCAATTTTTTTTTCGAGAATCGTCTTCCTTCAAGTGAATGTACTATGATTATATGTGATCTTGACAACTTCAAGTAACAGTAATCTATATCTTGACATACAATCTGTGAAATTGAAATGATTTCATATTCTGACCTGAGAGATATGACTAACACCCCCAGTTCAACATGATTTCCACCAGATATCCAAGTCACTACTACCGCACTCTAGCCCATTCATTCTAGATGCAAAGGTATTCTCCTTCATAACCTATCATCAACTCCTCTCTCATCTCTCATCTCACATTCTCAAAATGAGTTATTAGATTAATATCTATACTACCTTCTACTTTCTTTCTCCTCTCTTAGTTCTTCTTTCCTATGTCTTTTATTTATTTCTTTTTTATTTCTTCTTTTTATTTCTTTTTTATTTCTTTTTTTATTTCTTCTTTTCTATTTTATTTCTCCTTTTTTATTTCCTTTCTTTTCTTTTTTTTTCTTTTATATTCCTTTATATTTTCTTTTATACTCTTCTCTTTTATTTCTTTTCTTTTATATTCCTTTATATTTTCTTTTTATACTCTTCTCTTTTATTTCTTTTCTTTTATATTTCTTTATATTTTCTTTTTATACTCTCCTCTCTTATTTCTTTTCTTTTACTTCTTTATTAATTTAAAAAGAATATAAAGACCTAATACTTACGCTATTTATAGATTCTAAATATCTATATTCTATTCTATTTAAAGAGCTAGCTATATATAGAAAGTTATAGACCTTATATAGATACTACTAAAAGAGCTAGTCTCTTTCGCTTTCGCTTAAGACTTTTATAAAATAGTAGCTAAGAAATTAAAGCTACTTTTATTTATACTTTTCTTTTTATCTTTTATTTCTCATTTCTCATTTTCTCTTATAAATATACTTGTAATAATAACTATCTATCTCCTAAAATATAATCTTATAGAAGTAGAGAAGCTATTAGAAAGAAGCTATTGGAAAGAAGCTCTTTAGAAAGAAAGAATAGAAAGAATAAAATAGAAAGAATAAAATAGAAAGAATAAAATAGAAAGAATAGAAGTATATATTAATAAACTAATTAGAAGAGAAAAGATTCATTTATTTGATCTAAATACTTTCTTAACCTACTTCACCTATTCCAACTAACCACGCTCAAGAAGCTGGAGGCAATGATAAAGTATAAAATCAAGTAGAATGGAAACACCATGGAAATTTTATCTTAATATAATATAAGACATATGATTAATAATATTTAATAGAATCTACTACATCTATCTAGGTATATAATCATGAATCTAAGATAAAAGACTTTTATAGTATCTACTCCACTACCTAGGTAGGTGGACATATGTATGTAATTGTGATTCCCAATTCTTCATTTTATCCGCTGAACACAAAATGAAACGCCTACTACGCCACGTCGCGCCATGTCATCCATGCCATTTTATAGGTATCTAGCCTTCTACCCTTCCTTCCATATATCTATACATCAAATTTATCTATAAACTAGCCAATGAAATTCATAGACGCTTCGTGTTTGTGTTTTGAGTCGTCGTGACGTGGAGATACGTACTTGTGAAATATGATGGGAAGTATGTGAAAATGACAATGCCACATCATTGACCATGCCCATATCCACATAAACCACAAGATTTGTTAGTTTCTACCACCTCTACCACCACCTCTGCCACCTCTGCCTCCACCTCTGCCTCCACTCCCGCCACTTCTTCCCTCACCACCACCACCACCACCTCTTCCTCCTCCGTGTGGAGCTCTAGGAGGATCTGGGATAATAGTCAAACCCGGAGTGCCCTTAAGTCCCATCTTTCCGACAATGCCTCTGTAAAGCGTTGGAGTCTCTGGTGCACCCAATCCTTCCTTCGCATAAACATTGCCTTGACGGACTAACTCCGCATTATCCCACTTCATAAGTTTGAGATGATTTTTGTAGTATCCTAACCAAGCTTGATATGTTTTGGAATGATTATCCATCTTCGATGCGACTCTTAAAACATCGTTTGCAGAGCTCAGATCTGCGGGTGTTGGTACGAATTGAATTTCTTTCAATGTCCATTTTGGGAATGCTCCTTCAGCATCTGTAACAATGAATACACCACGACCTTCTTTGCCTGCTCTGGCTGTACGACCTAGACGATGAATGTAAGATTCTTTATCGGCTGGAACGCCCACTTGAAAGACATTCGTGACGCCCGGGAAATCCATTCCACGAGCAACGACATCTGTAGCTACAAGAATACCATTTTTGGCTTCGCGATAATCGTTTGTGACTTTTGTTCTCTTACTTTGAGACACACGAGAATGTAATGCTGTGATGGGTGGGAAATCTGATAAGTGAGAGAGAATGTCGGCGTAGAAATCTACAAGGGCAGCGGTAGGCGCAAACACAATAGCCTTGAAGCTATCCTTACCTTCCAACTTCATTTCTTCGCGAATAGAACCTACCATTGCTGGGGCCACATCAGAGAAATTTGGAACGGTAACGAGATGTTGAGGAACACGTGCATGAGTATTGACCTCTCCCTTAGGAATGGTCGAAATAAACTTGTAATCTTTTGAGAGAACTAAGTGAGCGACCTTCTCAACGTGAGGAGCAATAGTGGCGGAGAAAAGCATTCCTTGTCTGTTGGTCTTGGCCTTGTCTGGAAGACATCTAATAATATCTTTAATGGCATTCATAAAACCCATATCGAGTAATCTATCTGCCTCATCGAGAACAATAGTATCGAGATTGCGGAAAGCATCAATAATTCTTTCATCATTGAGATGGTCAAACAATCGACCTGGAGTGGCAATGAGAATATTACATCCCTTCAAAATACTTTTCTCCTCTGAAGTTTTATTGGTACCACCGATGGCAAATCCAACTTTGTAATAAGGAAGACGTTGTAATAATTGACTCGCTTCTTTTGCTATTTGTTGTGCAAGTTCTCTCGTTGGTGTCATGACTAACAGAGAAATTCCATCTTGAGGACGTCTCTGTTTGTTAATGAGTGTCTGAATCGCAGGAATAAGGAAAGCAATAGTTTTTCCAGTTCCAGTCTTAGCCTGTGCCAAACAATCTGCGCGCTCTAAAAGTAAAGGACGAAGAGTTGCGGCTTGAACCGGCATCATATGGTCGAATTTCAAGTCTTCAGTAATGGTCTGGAGAAGAATTGGGTCGAGGAGATTTTCAGCACCGAGATCTACGAATCGTGGAGTATCGAGAGGGACTGCAGAGGTAAGTGGAGGAGCGGCAACTGCAGCCATTTCTTCTGCAAAGGATGTGGAAGCAGAAAATGCTGCCTTTTGGATAGGTGATGCATTTTGGGTAGGTGATACATTTTGAGCATTGCTGCCACCTCTGGTATTTCTGGCATTTCCTCTGGTACTTGCTAATTGAGAAGAATAACGACCTCTACGAGGTTGCTTTCTAGCTCTGGGGTTTGGTGGAGATGACATCGCAATGGTAATCGAACGTAGAAGTCCAAGGCGATTGTGGTTGATGGTTTTATGAAGAGAAAGCATTGAGAAAGCCTGGATTTTTTGAGTTGAGGTTATCAGAATTTCTTTTTTGGAAAATTTCCTAATTATTAGTGAGTAAGGCTAATGTCAGCCGTACTTCAGCCTTGTTCATCGCATTTGATCTCAGCCAATGATTCCGTACTTTACAAAGAGTTTTAATAATTCCTTGACCTAAGATTCGTAGCCTTCTTTGCTATCGTATTATTTTTAGATACTGTGAGTGTAAATCAAAGAATTTTACCTACATGAATACTAAGAATAGACATTTCTAATATCCTCAGGTTTATCCTTTCTAGAGGAGCATTTTGATACAGTGTCTTACCAAAATCCCTGGTATCTACCACCCTTCCCATACTCCATGGAAATGAATAAATTGTAAGACAGCCAGTCCAGTGAACTCCTGTTCCCCATATTAAACGCCAAATACTCAGTGTAAATCTTAATTATGCCTTGTTTTTCTCTTGCTCATGCTTTTTCTCCAATTGCTTCTCAATCAATTCGGCGACCTTCTTTGAATCGGTCTCCATTTCTCCATCACCTTCTCCTTCGCCGATTCCTCTCAATGACCCAAAAATCCAACACTCCTTCAATTCTCTAGTCAACTTTAAGAGGTCTTCTGCTGCGCTTGTCTGCTCATACGATTATCAGTGATACTCACTAAGCTTAACCCCAAATGCTATAGAAGCTATTAAAAAAAAAGGAAATAAGGAAAGACGTACTAAGGCATTACTCTCAACCTCCATTCTCAATCCCTCTGCAGCTGCAATCTCCTTCGTAAATGCATCTTCAGTAGGTAATGCAGCAAGCTTAACAAGATTCTGAAAACGGATAAGGAGAGCAGCGATAGCACGTTCCTGGCGGTCTGTAAGTTCGTCAGCTTTGGATCTGCGTAATTCGGCTAGGTTATCAGCTGAGCCATCGTTGTGAACAGATTCGTGCTTGTGAACTGGATCATTTTGACTTGGTCTTTTATCCTCGACAACTGGTTTGGTGGCTGCTATGATTTCATTGTTGGCGATTAGTCCCGTGATTGATGCGGCTTCCTTGTTAGCAACTAGCTCGGTGATCGCGATGAGTTTATTAGGCAAGTTAGGGCGTGGATCATCTTGGTACAAAATGCCATTGTCAAGGACTAGTTCGGGAACTTCTGCAATCTCATTTGCTGTGACTTCGTCGGGCAAGTTTGAAATTGGATCATCTTGATGCAACATGCTATTGTCAAAGGCCACTTCAGGTAATTCTGGGAGTTCTGGGAATTCTTGAAATTCGTTTGCTCCGAACGCGTTGAGCAAGGAAACCCTTGATTCATTCTCATCGCCAACAAGATTTTCCATGGACACATCATTTTGAGCCACTTGTGCATAAGGATAATTTTGGCGCAACGTTTCGCCATTGGAAACTGGTTCCGCGGTTGGTGTGACTTCGTTGAGCAAGCCTGGTATAGATATGTTTTCAAAATCTAAGGATAGTTCCATGTGTAGATTGTTTTGAGTCATTTGTGCAGAAGAATCCTCTTGGCGCAACGTGCCGTTGTCGAAAACTAGTTCGTTGGCTGTTGTGACTTCCCTGGGAAAACCGAGAGTTGCCGCCCCTTGATGCGGCATGTGATTGTTGGAGACTGGTTCAGCGAATCCTACTGCTTCGTTTGCTGAATCTTCATTAAGCAAGCTGGGGTTTGTGATATTCTCGCCAGCAAACTCAATGGGAGATTTTAGGTGCATGCTAACCCCATTGTAGGGTAAAGCGCTAGAGGTACTTTCGCCAGTAGAATTAACGAGCAGTGGATGCATGTCAACTCCGTAGTAGGGCAATCTAGTGCTTGATGTATTTCCACCAGTAGACTCAGTGGATTGTGGAGGCATGTTAAGCCCGTAAGATAGAGCGCCAATGGGTTGATGGGGCATAACTCCGAGTTGATGACCACCAGAGTAGTGTACATCACTCTCTAGACCAGGTATCCACGACACAGACTCAGTCGCTACAGCGTCGGTAGATTGAATCGTAGATGAGTCGGAGACCATTGACCAATTGGTCATGCCGGAATTATTGGAGGGCATGCTAGAAACTGGCCCAGGGCCAACAGAATTCGATGTATCGGTGACGCTGGATTCATGGATTCCAGTGAGATGACTTGTAGGATGACTAGCTGGCGCTGCAGACATGTGCTCACTGCCAAGAGAAAGCAGAAAGTTGGCGCCATTAGCTTCATTGGTTTGCATGGAATCACTGGAGATCGCTCTACCCATAAGTTCAGGGTGAGAATGAACTGAGGAATCCATGACAGTGTCTTCATTGATTCTGGTGGAATCGCTAGTCGCATTTGAATTTCCGGAGACCGTTCCTATGGTTTCATCGCGAGAAGAATCCCAAACATCGCGATTACCAGACATGTTGAATATGAGCCGCGTTTGCTGTATTATCAAATTCGTTCTGGTCGCTGTCGAGATGGTGATTGTATTGATTGATCAAGTCGATGATTGATTGTGTTGAAATCATGAGAGTTGTAAATAAATAGTAGCCACTTACCAATCAAAGCAGCTGTAGTCTGCTGCGTACCTTCCATCTTGGATAAAAATATATAAGTACAGTTTGCAATTATGCGATGCGATGCAATGTGGGAGTGAAGGTGAGTCTAAAAAGATAGAGTGAATGTGAAGTCAAGAAAGGAAAGCTTGAAGCTCTCTTATGCAAGGTGCCCCTCTTTTAGTGTGCCCCACTTGAGATTCACCGTTCGTTCCCAACTTCCCCCCTTGCCAATCTATTTGATTCGCGCTCCGCAGTCATCATTGTTGTACTTGTTGTCGTGTCAAAAGTTCCGAGTTTTTGGATTGTTAAATACATTTAATCGAATACATAAATTCTTCTCTTCAATTAAATCTTGCAGTCTCACAAACAAGTCCGTCAAAATGCAGTCTGGAATAACAGGTATGGCAGCATCTCAATGTTGTTCTGAGTAGAGCTAACCACTTGTATTCTCACAGCTTCCCAAGAACTTCACACGGCGTTCAAAACGTTCGTATCTACGGAATCGCAAAGAGGTCTCCTCTGTACCATCACTGGGGAAACTCTCACCCCTTCCGCTATCCTCGAACCCTCCACTTCATCCTTCGACAATGATCTCGACCTCCTAGCTCCTCATCTCCAAGAAAAAGCTGCTTTATACATAATACTTCGTCGCTATCCTTCCAATGATCCCGCCCCTTTCATTGCCATAACCTATGTTCCCGACTCCGCGCCTGTGCGTCAGAAGATGCTGTTCGCTTCTACACGTCTTACCTTGGTTCGAGAATTGGGAATTGAACGATTCAGAGAAACAATATTCGCCACTATGAAGGAAGAGTTGACAAAAGAGGGATTCGCTAAACATGATAAGCACGTCAAATTGGCTGCGCCATTAACCGAAGAGGAACAAAGCCTGGGTGAGGTAAAGAGGAAGGAGGCAGAAGAAGGCAGAGGTATGAATGAGAGGAAGAGTCATGTAAGTAGCGGCATTAGTATGCCAGCTACACCAGATGCATTAGAAGCTTTAAAGGGCCTCAACCAGGACGGCGCGCATAATTTGGTTCAGATCGTAAGTCTCGTCGTTCCTTGAATTGATATCCAATGGCTAACAAGCCCTAGAAAATGAACATTGCGCAAGAAACCATGGAACTTGCTTCTAAGACACAAACATCTATCTCAGAACTCAGCAGCACTATATCTGCCACCGAGCCTCGGTTCTCTTTCTATCGCTACACTCACGACCATAACGGCACAACTTCCTCTCCAATATTATTTATCTACACTTGTCCTTCAGGCTCCAAGATAAAAGAACGAATGATCTATGCATCATCGTCTCGATCCGCTCAACAATTAGCTGAGTCAGAGGCAGGACTCACCATTGAGAAAAGAGTCGAAGCTGGATCTCCCGAGGATATTTCTCAAGAAAGTATCGATTTCGATTTACATCCCAAGGCAGAGGTGAAGAAAGCATTTGCTAGACCTAAGAGACCTGGAAGAGCATAAATATTTAGGATAAATTTCGACCCCTGACACATTATCAAGCAGAAGGAAAATATGAATTTGGTTAAAGATTTTATGGGTGCTCCCTCTCTCCTATACGAGACGATATCTATGCGAAATCATCATTCTTAGAATACCATATTTTACAACGGCCTTACATCTCTCCAGATTTTAACCGAACATCTCGTAATTCTGGATACATACTCATAAAGTCCGTCATCCCTTCTATCTACGCACATATCCATTCACTCTTCATACTTCCCTCCAAACATTGGCATATCACTATGCTCCAACTTCTCCTTCAAAAATTCATAAACCGTAAATGTGACGGCCTGACCTGGTGCAACTCGCATTATCCGCGGTGTAATTCCCTTATAAAACGCATGAAATCCTTCCTGTCTAAACATGTCCCCTGCAATAGTTTTTATCCTACTGAGTGCTGTTTCTCCAGGTACTCCTGGAGTTTTCTGTAAACGTGTTTTGATGGTATCGATAGGTGCGTTGGATAGAGGACCCATAGCTCCGGATACCAGACCGATCAATGTAGTTTGGTAAGAGGGAATGGGGGAGTCGGAGTATTGGGGTTGCCATTTCTGGAGCAATTCTTTGAACTCGGTATAGGCGGTGAAGTTTACAGCTTGATTTGAACCTGGGGATGGTTAGTATAAAAATTGAATTGCAGACCACTAAAATTGTGCATGAACTGGGGAACGTGGTGGGGAAATGCGGGGATAGTGAAATAGGAAATGATTGATAACAAGGGAGGAATCATACCTTGCCGTAAAGCAGTTAAAGATATTCCACGATACAATGCACCGAATCCTTCTTCTTTTACAACGGTATATAATGCATGTGCGGCATTACGATATTTTGGTATGTCGAGCGGATCGGCCATACTGTGGTGTTGGGCTTGAAGACGAATCTTTATTACTTCCATGGGTGTTACGACGGCGACGGCTTCGGTTACACCTGCTGCTAGACCGGCTGGAAGAGGTAGTATGTTAGCATTTTGTCATTTTTCTCTGTGGAACACCTATATGTCTCTCTTGGATATTCTCTCATATCCAGAAAATTATGAGGAAGGTAGACATACCCAAAAATGTAGCCCTTCCACTAACAACTCCCGTCTCCTGATCCGCCAGCCACTTCTTGTACGCCTCGAAACTTGTAAATCTTATAGCCATCTTCGGTACAATACCAGTTATAACGGCACCGAGTCCTTTATAGAGACCGAGGGGAGTTTCGCGCTTCATGATCTCGGCACCTGTGGTGATGAACCCTCGTTTGGGAGCACCAGGGGCGCGTGCCCGGCGAGAAAGTTGCATACGGACTTTTATTGTGTCTATTGGACGAGAATTGGTTAGAATTTGAGGACTCGTTTGGATGTGTGTGGAATAAATAGGCAATTAGGGAGAAACGCACCTAAAGGATGACATACAAGGGCCTCCATCATTCCTGCGGCTCCACCAGCTATATATTGTTAGACAATATTCAATTGAAGTTTATAGATATGGGGGAAGTGACTCACCAATAAGATTTGTGGCTGCTGAGGCTGGTTTCTTGCCATCTGTGCCTTTGACACTTCTCGCTGACATATTGGGTATATATTACCTCTTCGCAGAGGATTTGTGTAACTGTAGAAGATTGATCAAATGTGAAGCTCTGATTGAGGCCAATGTAATTCAATATTGGTAGGTAGATCGATACAACAACTATGCGCAACGAATTCTCTATCTCTCTAGCATGTGAAGGTGCACTTCTATATTGTCGTTTGCGAATTGAAGAGATATTTCAAAGTAATGAGATAAAAATGGTTCAAAGAGCAGCTTGCTTCTACTTCAGAGAAATAAGAGAATGATAAAAATCAATAAACCCTTAATGCTGATCGCTCAAGTGTATATATGAGTCTGCATCCTTTCCGTTTGCGTTCGTCCAGCTGGGCCGAGCTATCTTGTCCCGCGGCCCATCTCTTACCTCAAGCCAAGTCCTGTTGTACTTCACAGCCTTGCATGAGTAGAGAAAGGGAACGGCCTTCCAATTGAAAGTTGTGGAGCCCCGGACTCGGATCGTTGCTAAGAAATGCTAAGCTTGTGCTTGGTCTTCAACGTGCCGGTTGGTAGCTCGGTTCAACGGATACAGATTTTAGGGGATGTGCAGCCAGGGACGCCTGAAGTGGCGGAGCGTAGAGTTTGATTTTGGTATGGAGGGGTAAATGCCGAATCCTGATATAAAATCTAGATGCAACTTGCAAACTTACTATCGTTGGACTATTAGCACTGAGGCGATTTGGAGTGGTTGAGAAATTGATTTCATTATCCCACATTCCAAATGCAATTGAGACAAAGGATGAATGCAGTGGTGTTTCTTCCATTGTCGCAAATGCTCTCTGTTCTTCTTGGCTTCAACTTCCAAGCATTATGTTCGAGCATCTGACGTCTTACCTTCCATTGACTTGTAGTACCGAGCTTCCTTCGAGACATAAGACAGCATAATTTATTTTGAGATAAAGGGTCAAGTTACTCAGATAAGCTTGTGATAACGCGGGGGTCGGTCAATCCCGGAGGCGGAAGATGAAGGCGCTTTTCGATTGAACCGAGGTTTATCAGGGGTTTATCACGTGACTACAAATCCCAGCATTCAAGCCGGGTGAGATGGTTGTTGTCGGAAGAGATGCTTTGATGTGATGAGACGAAAGTATTCATCTTGTGAATGGAAAATAGCGTGTGAGTATTGACTCATGGATGAGAACAATGCGATTGTTCGAGTCGTGATGGTTTCCGTCGACTTGAGAGGTTTCTCTATCCGCTGGCGCGAAGATCATGCTGCCATGCTAGACCTCCAAAGTATTCCCCTAACACACGACAATAAATCGTCAACACTCCGTGGTGGCTGATACATGCTTGGGACTATCCCATGAAGCTTGATCGGAAGGCTCACAAAGTCAGTCTGCCGTTGATGTTTTATACTCAGAAATTTATATCTTCATCTACAAGGGTCTTCATCTACAAGGGTGACCTAAGAATAGTGTTGCAAATAGGCACATGGACCATATTCAAATAGGAAGGTGGCAGGAAACGTTAATTGCTCCTTTAAACAAATGAGTTGTCCTCTGAAATCTCCACATCATGGAGCACAACAGCTTTCAGCGAACCACAAGTTCGCATATGGGATTTGGTGCGCACCAATCGTACATACGAGTGTACATGCATGCGCAATTGCATGTACAACTGAGGCAAAAGTCAGCACGACAATCCTTCCTCATCCCATCTTCTGTTTGTGTTGTATTTTAATTTTTATTGGTTATTTTTGTTGCTTTTTTGTGTTGGATACTCAAATCTGATTCTGTGTTAAATAGGTACGGCATTGCCTGTCTACATTCTTAACATTTGTCTGTTTTTGGGGTTCCCTGCTCAGTGTTCAGTGTGTCTCGCAACAAGATGTCACGAGCGGGCGTAGAGGAAGAAGGTCTGCCAGCTGAAGATAGATTGGATGAATTGGATTATATGGACGAAGAATTTCTTGAAGACAGCGAGACTTCTTTACTTCGAGAATCAGATCCGAGAGAGGAAGATGTGGTAGAAGTTGGGAACTTATATCTAATATGCCTGGCCATCAGCACTGGCGGGTAAACACCCTGTCTTGGTTTCGGTTTTGTCATGCGTTGCTAACTTTCGGTAGACTTCAAGTGATATGGACGGCTATTATGTCTCAAGGCTCTGTAAGCATTTATTTAATATTTCTATATCCTTAATCATGTGCATAACTAATTCTTGAAGCCTTACTTGGTCTCGCTCTCGGTCCCCAGCTACCTCATCTCCCTAGTTTGGCTCGCTGGTCCCCTCTCTGGTGCAATCGTTCAACCATACATTGGCATTTTATCTGATCGCTCTGAACACTCTCTCGGCCGTCGTCGACCATTTATCATCATAGGTACTATCGCAACCATTGTTTGTATCCTCGCACTTCCTTGGACAACCGACCTGATATCATACCTCTTTGCCTTATTGGGAAGCTCCCCCGTAGGTCGCGGTGCAATGATATGTAAAGGGGTTATCGCAGCTGCTTGGATATGGGCTTTGAACATCGCAATTCAACCCGTGCAAGGGGGACTAAGGGCAATTGTCGTAGACTGTGTTCCTCCGAAACAACAAGTGAAAGCTTGCGGCTATGCGAGTGCTGCTGCCGGAATTGGTTCAATTTTAGGGTACACTGCCGGCTATGTTTCTCTGCCGAAATATTTACCATGGCTTGGTGACACTCAATTGAAAGGGCTTTGTCTGATCGCTTCCTTGGCATTGGGTTCAACTGTTGCGGTGACCTGCTTTACAGCAAAAGAAAAACGATTTGTTTACTTAGATGCAAGTCCGAAGAAACAGAGTTTCGCGAGGAATTGTCGTCAGATATTTAGCAGCGTGAAGACGTGTTCGAGAGAGATAAGGAAGATTTGCATAGTTCAATTCTTCGCTTGGATAGGCTGGTTTCCGTTTTTATTTTATATAACCTCGTAAGTCCTACTTATTATCATCTCGTGACTCTTGAAAATGATACTAATAAATTGATTTAGATACCTAGGTGGTCTTTGTACGTTACTCACGGTTTCTAATATTGGTCAAAGCGAAACTGACTGGATCCAGATGAAGCAGAATACACTGCGATATCCAAAAAGGAAACTCCTACTATCACATTTCCTACCACATCACCTCATTCCATCCGTCATGCAACATTTGTCATGATTCTCTTCGCTCTTGTTGCACTCATCTCGAATCTGACACTTCCTTTGTTTATCTCGTCCTCCTCCATCAGTTCTAAAGATCAGAAACCCACTTTCGTCTCCCGCCTCCACATCAAATTTCTCACCCTTCCCCGCGTCTGGACACTCTCTCAAATTTTCACCACTCTTCTCACTTTATCTACCTTATTGACCTCCAGTTTTGTCTCCACTTCAGTCCTTATCATCTTCCTCGGTATCTCCTGGGCCACCACCACTTGGATTCCTCTCGCCCTCATCTCTACTGAAATCTCGCAATCTCAACATCGCTCCCGCTCCACTACCTCCACTTCTTCCATCCCCCTTTCTCCAATAGCTCAACCTGCCTCTTCATCCCACAAAAGAAACAAAATCCGAGAGCCGTTACAAGCAGGCACAATAATGGGTCTCTTTAACATGGCAATTGCTTTACCGCAAATTATCGCTGCGTTACAGGGAAGTCTAGTATTTTGGGTATTAGGAGAGGTTGGAGTTGTTGGAACAGAAGCAATGGGCTGGGTCATTAGATTGGGATGTTTGGGAAGTATGTTTGCTGCTTGGTTAGCTGATTCATTATGAAACACGCCGTTTTTGAATAGATGGAAATCTCAGGCGCTGGGTGGTGTTTAGGTTTTTAGAAGCTTTGGCATAAACTTGGGTTTGGTGATTCATAATTGGCGTTATATTGCGTTCAGATCAGGTGGTAGTGTAGTGAATATAGTAAATATATATACTTCAAATCTTACTCCTATCGATTCTGCGCTGATTCTCACACATCAATGTCTCCGCTCAATTGGTACAATTTTTTTCTTCCAATCTTCACTGTTCTCATGTCAATATATTTCAAACCACTTGGCTGTATGAGACAACCCCGAGAAGAAATACAAGTCCAGCTTTTAATTCCGAAAATATCATCTCAGATTACCTCTCGAAGTAGGTAGCCAATACCATCTAATAGACTAATAGACTTGATATAATCTCTACACATTCAGCCGACAACTAAATAAACCATAATTCAGCCATCAAGGATTCCACTAAATGTCGAAAGCCCTCTCATTTCATAAACTGCACAGAGACGATTATTATTGTATTAGCTGCTCCTGTAACTCGCAGATTTCGTAATTGAGATACGAAAATTAAGTCAGAGGTTTTCCGAAGATTATGAACTTCCAGCTTATAATATATAGCAAACTTTAGATTCCAAAAGGATGAGTGATAACCTCAAAATTGATAGCTCAGTAGTATTCTTATTTTGATGTATATGTGTCTAACTATTCTAGATAATCAGCCAAGTTTAAAGCTAGGGTGAAATAAAATGAACACATTCATCTTATATCCATCCAGAGCTGCAATATATCCCCATACATGTTTCTCATTCCTTTCCCCTTCCCATTCCACTCCCCTAAATCAAATTACTTAACAAGTAGTCCAACATAGAAAATTTAAGGTTACATCACAATCTCTATCTCGTTATTTCTAATTGATACACGCAATACAAGTCCAATCGTCCCCCTGAAAGCGGTAAGATGGGACTACATGGGTAAGCGAGCCAGATGGTGTGATATATAGTTTTTAGATCTTCGATCCTGATTCTTTAATCGAGAGCTAAATGAATATCCTTGATAGTAATCTAGATAAGCATGATTTTACATGGCGCTCAGATTCGTGTCAAGATCGTAGGGATGGGTGGGTTATATTGGGAAACGTGGGTTTCGTTACGATTTCTTCTAAATGATATAAAAAAAAAGGAATAAGTTTTACTTGGAGATATTTCATGACATTTTGGGGGGAGGGGGATGATTGTATAGTAAGTCAACTACCCCACTTTCCGACCACCCCCTCTTTTCGACCACCTCAAAAACCACACCGCTTTGAGTAATTATAAAATTTATACTTTGAATAACTCAACAATGCTTTAATCAATTGATTTGAAATTTTGATATTATTATAATTGTGATATGAAGAATAGATATACCGAAGAAGATATCGCAGAGGCTCTTAGAGCGATTACAAATGGAGCAAGCATACGAAGAGCTAGCTTGGATTATGGTGTTCCACGTACCACACTTCACGATCGAATATATGGTGGAGTTTCGCATCAAAAAGGCGCCCAAATACTTCAAAAGTTATCTCCAATTCAGGAGAATCGACTAGCAGAATGGATATTAGTACAGGAAGCTCTTGGTACTAGCCCTACACATCGTCAAATCAGAGAGATGGCAGAGCACCTCCTTATTGTACGAGGGGAGGATCCCTCACTTGGAAAGAAATGGATACATAGCTTTTTTCGAAGGCATCCTAATATTGGAACTAAGAAGCAACATCAAATCGATTCTGCACGAGTTTCAGGTGCTACATCTGATATTATTAAGAAGTGGTTCCGGAACCTCGCAATCCCTGAAATCAAGGCTATTAAGCCGGCCAACAGATGGAATATGGATGAAGCAGGTATAATGGAGGGTCAGGGTCTTAATGGACTAGTAGTAGGAAGCACTGATCGAAGATTTATTCAAAAAAAGCAACCTGGATCTCGAATTTGGACCTCTTTTATAGAATGCATTTCAGCCAATGGAAAAAGCATTACTCCCCTTGTAATATATAAGGGAAAATCAGTTCAACAACAATGGTTTCCAACAGATTTGACTCTATTCAAGGGTTGGAACTTTACCGCTACAGAAAATGGATGGACTACAGATGCTACAGCTTTAGAATGGCTGAAAAAGATCTATATCCCTCAAACTACCCCTATTCAGCCGGAAAATTCAAGACTCCTCATTTTGGACGGACACGGAAGCCATGAAACTACAGCATTTATGTTAGAATGCTTTAATAACAACATATATCTCTTACTTCTCCCACCACATACGTCACACGTACTACAACCACTCGATTTATCTGTGTTCTCACCCCTAAAAAGTGCATATCGAATCGAACTTAATAAATTAAGTCTATTATCCGATTCCTCACCAATTGGAAAGCGCAATTTCCTTTCTTGCTATCAGAAGGCTAGAATAGAAGGTTTAACTATTCAAAATATCAAGTCTGGGTGGCAAGCTAGTGGTCTTTGGCCCAAAAATATGGCTAAACCTCTTATGAGTCGACTTTTGCTTGAAAATAGCAATAGAGAGGTTTTATCACTTAATCCTGAATCTGATGATGATCCTATTCTTCAATGGAATATATATTCATCATTTATTCAATGGAAACCCCCTCAAAAAGGAGCCGATATCAGAAAATATAGAGATATAATGATTCAAGAGAAGGAGATCGATTTGCCAACACGAAGATTACTATTTCGCAAGATTATAAAAGGATTCGATGCTAAGGATTATGAACTCTTAGAGGCAGAGAATAAGATTAGAAAGCTAGAATATCAATTAGATGAAGCATTACCTAGAAAAAGGCGAAAGGTTGTGGTATCTCCAAATTCGAAGTTCGCAGGGATTAGAGCTATAAGGCGTACACAAATTGAAGCTGGAGATCGTGAAGATGAGGTAGATGATAGCTCTAGTGCTATAGAAAGTGATTCTACAGGCGATTTCATTGAAGTTCAATAGTTATTGAGTTATTAAAGTTTTAAGTGTAGATAATATGAATTTTTTAGGTGGTCGGAAACAGGGGGTGGTCGGAAAGTGGGGTAGTTGACTTATAGATGCAAATAATAAGTCTAATCTATTTTCTTAACTAATAAGAGATGATGTCTAATGGGTATAAAATGCTCCTTGGTAGAGTATGGGGTACATTAAATAATTTAATAGATTATCTAAAAACCATCATATTTTCCGGTACTCTCGATTAGCAAATCCGGAAATGAATATTGCATAAATTTTGTTTGTTCAACATCATTTAAATATGCAAAAACCTTTCATCTAGCATTTCAAGCTCTCCGTTCAAGTTCAGACTCCTCCAATCATCTAACGATACCTACACTTGAATATCTGAGTAGGTACTCAGACTTTGAACACTTTTATTTATCTAACAAACTATTCTAAATTTTCCATATTCTATTAAGCCCTCAGAATCTTGTCGTTGTATACTGTATTTCTAGTTAGATTCTCATCACTGTTCTCCTCGCGAGTCGAAAAAGATAAACTCAATCGAAGATATCTCTAAATTCCCTTTCACGAATCATGATTCAGCGTTTTTTCCTATCATCACTCGACTGATCCTCATTCGAAACTCGTCACACATATGTGGAAGTTTTACATACATACAATCTCAACCCCAATACTCCCCCAGTCTCTCCTCTTCACAACCTCTTCCCCCCATCTCTCTCCCGAAATCCAGAAACTAACAAGCAGCAAATCACAAAGATCCAAAAGAATATATACGCATCAACACGCAGCTCAAGAATTTGAACTGTCAAGGTTTAAAGTACCTCCTCATAATAAACTCACTTGAAGGTTCATTCACATCTACATACATACACATATACATAAATCTCTATAAAAACCTGAAAACATAGAGTAAGCATCTTCGACACAGAGCCCTCAAACCTCACCCACTCATTTCGTCACCTCGCTTGGCTTTTTCATTCTTGAACACCAAGACATTCAGTTGAAGGACTCGTTTCGATATTCGGATTCATAATTTTCATATTCTACATCACATTACGTTGCACTAAAATAAAGCCTTCCTCCTTCTTTCACTTCACATCGCATTGGATTCTCATTCTTATATTCTCATCACCATAGCACTACATCATCACACCATCATACCATCACAGCTTTTTTCACCCCCTTCCCTTTTGAAGATTCAAGAACAACATACCCAAAATTCAGTAATGTAAGTCTTACCTATACATACCTCGAGCCGTAGTATGCCCAACTTAACCCAATGATCTGCTCATCCATCTATTAATTATATAATCCATTAGCTGCCCACATCTATCCCCTATTTTCCACCCCTATTTTTCAGCCCCCATTCCCCTGTTCCCCCATCACCGTATCCCCACTCCTCTATTTTCCACTCTCCCACCCCTATCCCCACACCACTCCCCCATCCCCATCGCTATCGCTATCGCCATCCCCTAATTCCCACTCCCCTAATTCCCCGTACCCACTCAGCCTCTCCAACAACACCACCATCTCCATCTCCATCCCCATCCCCATCCTTCACCATCGACCAATCCATAAACCCCAAAACCAGCAGTAAACCCAAACCCAACCCAACCCCAAATTCAAACCTACAATCCTCAAAATCCTCACTGTCTCACTCTCACACTCCTTCTCCTCCTCATTGTCACCACAGAATAGACCTCTCTTCAATATGTACTTATATAAACAATCTAACCCTCTCCCCCATCCCCAAAACCACTCAACTAATACCAAGCTAACAACACTACTCACTGAGATACTCAGAAATCAGAAATCAAAGTTAGAGTAGGTACCAAGTATAAGATGATAAAAAAAACTCAAGCATGAAAGATAATAAAAGTATGTAGAAAATCCAACATGTGTGAAAATCTTGTAGATACTAAGCTGCAAGTATTTGCAGATATTCAGAATACATATCTACATACATCTAAACATCTATATCCATATCTATATCTATATCCATACCCACACTCAATATCTATACACCATACACCATACACCATACACCATACACTCAACACATAACCCACATCCCCTCTCCAAGAGCACCATACCCTTCGAAAGCTCCACACACTTCTCCAGTCCCCTAACGCTTACCATGAAATTTCAAAACGCTAGCTGAATTTTGACTCGTAACCAATCAATCC